TGGCAATGTGGCCGAGTGGTTAGCGTGTCAACCTCACATGCTGCACTGTCACGGTTCGACCCCCGCTAGGGGTGTTGATAAGACCGATGCGACGTCGAAACCTAAGTCCACTTTGTATGAGAACAACTTTTGGGAAAGCAAGGCTGTGTGAAATTAAATGGAAACGTCAGCTCTAGTCATATCATTGTGAGGAAATTATATTACCAGTCCTTCATCACCTTAAACTAAATAGAGTGAATACATCTCATAATTAGTTTGTCAGCTAAGGTACACCTAAAGGAGCCATTAGGTCAGAAGCTAGTTTATCCCTTCTAAAATACTAATTGGGCTTCCAATATGACAACCAAAGTCTTCAATATGGATAAAAATTAGTTTTTGGCTAAATCTACTACGTGGTAGGGTTATGTTGCTCATCCTTTGAATACTCTATCCTAAATTAGTTGTGCTGGTATTTTTAAAAACGATACATTTTCACAGTCTGATCCTTTTTCTTATTCTATAGAGCGGTAAAAATCTGTGGTAGGCCTGGAAATAGAGCTCGAAAAAATATTTTTTTGATAAATGGGCGCAAAGTACTTTAAAACAGGTAGTCGCATGGCTTGAATTATAAAAGTCAGCGCGCCATCTTCAGAATAAAGCTGATATGAGCCTCCCTAAGAAGATCGAAATGCATTTGTTACAACCCATTTTTTTAAATACAGGCAACTCTGAAATGAGGGAGTTTCAAACAGGCATTTTTATAAACTAATAGTTGGATCTGGCAATCATGTAACTGATCACCTGGCCAATCTTGGCCATGTTAAGATCAAGAGTATTTGATATTTGGTTACTCATGGGTAAGGGCATAATTAGGAATAACTTCAGTTTTATGCACATGGAGGTTGCTTAAAAGAATTAATATGAGTTTACGATTTCGTTCGTCTCGGCGAAGATCTTAGTCAAATTGTTTTTGGGATCTAATGCCAATGCAAAAATATACCATTATATTATGCAACATGCTCCCTCAAAAGTGCTTGCCCAACGTAAACTTATTTTTTTTAATTGCCGCTCTTAAATTGCACACTCAATGCAATATCGTCTAATTTTTTACATTCTCAAATCTCTAAATCCAGTTTTTCTATCTGCCAAATTAACCTAAATATTATGGGTAATTGAATAAGAAAAGAATTGCCGAAATATTCTTAATTGGTGACTTGGTGATACAGTGTTTTTGAGTGTTGAATAGCAAAGTTAAGTGTTGCTTTTGCTTTAAATCATTGTGGGGCTAGGAAAAAGAGATTTGCAGAGAAAAAGTGTCTTCTCGTCTGTTACGTAGTCAGCGAGATGCCTCGATTAAGTAATATCATATATATGAGTTTTATTCACCCTATTTCGTTTAAGGTGATGAAGGACTGGCAGTTGATTACTCTCCAAATGATATGATTAGAGCTGACTTTTCCATTGAATTTCACATAGCATTGCTTGCCCAAAAGATGTTCTCATCCAGAATGAACTGTAGTTTCGAACTAATTTATCAACAACCCAAGCGGGGGGTGAACCATGACGGTGCGGCGTGTGAACTCGACACATTAACCACTACGACACATTGCTACGAGTGTTATTGGGTCGCTACGCAAATGTGAATTTAAAGGAATGTCAGGCATTTTCCGTATCACATTCTTTGCTGGGATTGTCAATGAAGCAAACTTTTATTTGCTATATTAATTGAGGACATTACTTTTTTCGTAAGTGAACGGGTTTTCACGACTAACTTAAACGAAATAGAGTGAATACAACTCATATATCTGATTTACTGGTAGTCTCAAAAGCTACTTACTTATTAAATAAGTAATATAATTTCTGTATAAAAAGTTAGTCACCCTGAGTCGCTAACGGTGAGTTAAGGATTGTAAAAGGCGCATCTCCTTTGAGGTCTCATGATACCAATAAATTTAAGTTATTCTTCCCCCTATAAGGGTATTCTCATCCAGACTGAAATTCAGTTTCGAGTTATGCCGACTAAAACAGGAGTTAAGTAGCTAGGATTATCACCGCAGATAAATTTTGATGGAGCTATCCTTGAGCAGGGGACGCCGTTAATTTTATTTCCATATTTCCTGTGGGCCATCTATTCTCAAAATATTGGGGCCCGTCCTGCTGGAATGTCTGGTATGCATACAGCCATCGATTAGCCGTCGGTGTGACGCCCTTTCGATTTGCGTTTATGACAATAATCCTCTTGTACCAGATCGCAAATTTTGCCTGCCTCATCTTCCTTATCCTGAACCATTAGAAATGTACTATGGAGGTCTAGGATATGGTTGTACACAACAATACTTATATATTTTGTTTAGCACACATTAAGAAAACCCTTTCTCTAACATTCTATATCAAGAGAGTTGACCTACTTCAACAGTGATTAGATATACCATAGTCTAAAATGGCAAATGCTCTATTCTGTAACTTAACATCCCGCGATATCTACTGAAAGGCTTCATATCCCAATACGTGAAATGTATTATTTCAATTTCATTTAAGCTGCTGAGGGGTCTGGTGGTTCAATTTTTCCACTATCATTTGTGTATACTTAATGTTTCTATTTAACTTTACATAACCCTGCTTTCCAAAAGTCGGTTGCAGTTTCGAGCTTGCCTGAACTCGTCTCATCAGCACCCCCAACGAGACTCGAATTAGAGGCGTGGTATTGCAGCGAATAATCTCGAAACGTTAGTCACCTATGCGGGGTCGAAGCTGCAGTCCAGCCTGGATGAGAACAACGTTTTGGAAAGCAAGGCTATGTGAAATTCAATGGAAGCGTCAGCTCTACTCATATCATTGTGGGAAAATTATACTGCCAGTTCTTCATCACCTTAAACGAAATAAGGTGAATACACCTCACATAACTAATTTAGTAGTAATCTCGAAGCTCAATCAATATACGAAAAATAGTTAGCCACTACATCACTACACTACACAGTCACAAGTGCCCTTGGGTCACAGAGTTGATGTGAATTTCGTGGAAAGCCAAACATTTAATCGTATTAAATTCTGTCGTGATCTACTGATAGTCTCAAATGCTGCCTTATAAAACGAAAAATGAATAATGTTGGTGATTGCTCTAGCAAATACGACATTGCTTCATCGACAATCCCAACTCATAATGTGATATGCGAAAAGGCCTGTACTTCTTTGGAATTCATATCTGTCTTGTGACTTAGGGATACTCATGGCAGTGTGACTTTGTGGGTAACGTGTGGAGATCATATACTGCTCTATCAGAGTTCGAGTCCTGCGGGAGTTGAAAGTGCAGTCCAACCTGGATAAGAATGACTTTTGGAAAAGCAAGGCTATGTTCAATTCAACGTAAGATCTACCCATATCATTGTAGAAATATTCAACTAAAGATCCTTATCATCTTAAACCAAATATGGTGAATGCACCTCATGTATATATTATCTATTGGTAGTCTCCAATACCTGCATATTAAAAGAACAATTCATATTCCAATAATCGAAACTTAATTTAACTCGAAAAACACTACAAACACAAAGGTAATAGTAGATAGGGGCCTGTAGCTTAACTAATCTAGGTTCATGAGTAATGCGTATTTTTTGGATCCCCGTCCTGGATTCGAGAGTCCTTGGAGAGGAGGTTTGGATCTATTCAAGTTTGAAACCAAAGTCTAATCTGGATGAAAGCATACCTTGTCTAATTGTTTTGCAAATAGGTACTTTCGTCTATGTTGAATGGCAAATGCGACAATAATCATAGTAGACTTATGGTTGGCGAGAGGCCAGGCTTATCTAAAAAGTCACACCCTCCCTGTGAATCCCTGACCGTTTCCCGGATTGACCCTTATTCTCCGAATCATGAATCTGGCAGGGGTTACTGAAGGGATGGTATTGAAATGTCGAAGCTACTTTCTAGTCTGGATTACCGAACATTTGGCATACAATGCTAAGTGAAATTTAATAGTGTCTTAAGGCCTACTGACAATTTTGTGGAAACAATTTCAACATCAGCCCTTAAGCCACCATAGTCGAACTGGAGTGACTATAACACTTCTCAAACATTAAGTACACGAAACATAAATCTCGGTCTATCTTAGGTTTCCAGAATAGACAATGTGTCATAATTTGTAAAGTATGCCAAATAGAAAATCGTATTAATTGAGAAATCGTTGCGAGCTGTGATTTTACTGAAAAATTCCCATGCTTATATGAGAAAGCCTAGATGGAAGCCATCTGAGTTCTGATACAGTATGGGGAGATGGAGGCAAAATGCTCGCAGACCTCTGAGTCCAGCATTCGCTTCGTTTGAACACTCAAACTGTCTATAATAAACGATAAATAGGCGAAATACACCACATATAAGTATTGAACGAGTTGCAAATAGTATATACCATTTTCGCCAGAGGCTTAGTCAACTTATCCAGACAACTTTCAAAAGTTTGATTCAAGGTGGCATCGAGGACCTGGTAGCAGTTAAGAGGCAATCGGAAGAGAATGGGGAAACCCTTAGAGGTAGCATGCGTGGACTAGATTTTAGAATGAGTGAGATTAGGGCTAGATGAGCCTGATTGTCTAATTCAAGCATATTATAGAAAAACTATTCGTTAAAATGGATTGGCACTAGGTTGTCACCACAACGAATTGTGGCAATACCGATATTGGTCTGATATATTGAAAGCGAAACTAAGTCCATTGTATATTGGTAATAAATATCGAGACTTGTTTAACGTAGAAATGCGTTCATCTTAGAGTGTCATTTAAGGTAGGACGGAATCTTTCTTTCAAATAAACATGGCTACGTTAACTTTTCTACCAAAAGCCTACATACTCGTCATGCATCTACAAAAGAGTTGTATGTTTTCTTCCATCTCATACTCTACCGGTCCGAGACATGGTCGGCTTAGTTTGGCTCAATCAAAAAGTCGTCTTTGGTAACCGACTTTCTGGATGTCCTGTCAACTCTTCCACTTCATCTTTTATATGATCGTGTATTTCGCTTGCAGCCCGTGAATGGGGCGATCCTGTTTCCCAGACCCTGGGATCAGGTATCTACGCGCATTTACTATTTGCACTGCTGATACTACTGCTACTGATGTCGCACTTGATGCTGCCACGATTTATGCCCTTGTAACTACGGCGATGGTGGTTAGCAAGAGGTATGCACTTTAGCCTGCAGGCATTGCACACTTTCATACCTGAAAGCAGAGTGAAAACGAAGATCTCGACTATATGCACGCAAGTGATCTCATTGCTATTCTCCCCCCATCCACCTCTCAAAAGCGTATTTTGCGAGCGCCCATTCATGCTATCTTTCTCGGTTTCTGACAAATCCCACTAAAAGCTAGCATTTAGAGTAGGTATGCCTCGTTTATTTGTGATAATGCGTGGAAAACTCCTCTGCTCATCAAGTTCTTTGTGTCTCCGTCCTTCTGCGTGTGACCTGGTTCATATGTCTCTGTATATTAGAATGTGAGTATACTAACGGGACGTTTTAATAAACTGTTTTTGTCACCTACGTTTGGGTCCAAGCTGCTCACTGTCTATTGTTAGAGCAAATTCTTTAATACACTCTACTACTGACACATCCAAAAGTAGCACGATGAGATAACAAACTTTATCAAGAGTCAAGAGCAAACAAGCCTATATTCATAGTCGTTAGGTTTCAAGACTTTCATAAAATCGTGAATAAAGCTGTATTAATCCAACTTGGCATAAGGTAGTGAAGGAATGATGGTGAAATTTTCCCACAATCATATGAGTTGGCTTCCCGATGGTGCTGATACTCATTTATTCTTAGTTTAAGAGAAAGTTTAATTTGCATTTTATTGGGCTCGCTTCCATGTTGAGTGAAATTTTTTGGGAAAGAGTTTCAAAGATGATTCCACCGGAAAATAGGGGCGGATTCTTCTTGAGCAGATGTTGATTGGCTTAATTGGAACATTCTTTTTGGCGCTGTTTCCGAGACAATCGCCTTTGAGAAAAGTTATCTGTTTGAAAAATAATATTAGATTGATAAAAATATAGCTTTTGGATCGTAAAAACGTAAGGAGAGATAAAAAGTCGGAAAGTTGATTAAATGCTGTGTCTTCACCTTGGTACATTCTTTCTAAAATGATAGGTCAACTAGTAATGAAGTAAGAAATGAAAACTTTTTTAACGAAATTATGACACTTTTTTCAGTTATGCCCATTTTTATAGAGAAAGTTGGCACATTATCCAGATCAGGCTGATACACAATAATGTGTTCACGTGGTCGCTTTTATGTCGGAGAGACTTGTCGCCCAATTCTACAAAGGGTGGCTGAGCACAAAAGCGCCTACAGAAGCTATTGGTCTAAACTATCAGAGCTGGCTGAGCACAAGGTAGAAACTGGACATGAGATTGGAAAGTATTAAAGTTCTCGATTTGCTGATTATGGTATGTCTGCGGTTAAATGTAAAATTAGAGAAGCCAGCAATAAAGACCGAATAGGAAATACATTGAATGTAAGGAAACCGGCAAGAAGTAAAGAAAAAAATACTTGGGCTTAATTAATAGACTCAAGCATAAAGAGGGTATTAGCCACCCGCATGAAGAAGGTGACTCAACTAGTCTTTTCTTTTCTTCTTTTAGCCCTAATCACAGTCACTTTTCTTTACATTTTAGCCCACTCTTTAGCTCTCACATGAAGACAAAAAGCTGATCAACATAGCCTGATGTGTGTACGACATAACGCAGTCGGCGTGATAGATGATAGTAATGGTCATTGAATCTTGATAACGGAAAACAGACATTACTTTTTGTTTTAATAATTTGAGCCATCACTGTTGGTTTCTTTCATATGTGAACACAGGAAGGCATATGTACACGCACAGACACACTCAAAATGCTTCAAGGTTGACATTTTACTTGAAATTGCCAAGCCATTGTTACATCATTAAATAGCTCAGATATAAGCTATATAAATAGCATTAGGAATAAGAGAGTGAGATTGCTTAAATATGATTGTAAGAATAATGCATGGCTATGATAATGACCATCATATTGCGGAAATGACATGGAATGTCAGGACAATGTATAAAGAAATACTTGGTCATGCCTTCTTTATAAAATCTTCAGACGCCCTCTACAGATCAGGTTGTTAAAAGGTTTTGTGTTCATGTGATAGGACTTATATGGAGGAGACTGGTCGACCAATAGATAAGAGGCTATCAGAACACCGAAACGCCTACAAAGGCTTATGGATCCAGAAATCGGAGGTGACTGAGCATGTGGTCACTTCAGGACACCGGATAGAATGGTCTAAATCCCAACGTTTTGTCGGATATGGCGACTTCACTACTAAGTGTAGGATCAGAGATTCTAACGAAATCAACAAAGAGGAACGAGTGTAGGAAACTAAGCAAGAACTACCTTTGGCAGCTGAACAGAATTAGAGGGAGAAAAAGAGAAGGAAAGGAAACAGGAAGAGCTACTGAGTTATGAAAGAAGATTTGACTAAACTGGAGTCTGTTTTTCCACCTAAAATTGTCATTTTTAGGGGGATCTTCATTTTGTATGAAATTGCATGAAGAAGAGATTCGTTGGTCGATCTCACCAGACCGAAAGCATTTTACAAAAATGATACCCAGCTCTGATGTTGCCCATCAAATGATGGACGAAAGCTCAGCACGTTTTCACCCGAAACGAGGGAGGAAGTCTTGTGGACTGCGTCAACATGAATATCGTATAAAATACAAACGGTTGCAGTACAACGAGTTTCATCCGTCCTCATCTGGTGAGATCGACCAACGAATCACTTCTTCATGCACTTTCATACGAAATGAAAGTCCCCCTGACAATGTTATCTCAGGATATTCATCGAAACCGAGTTTCTCTTCGTATCTAAAATTGTCAACCAACTCATGTTTGTTGCATACACACAAAAACACGCATCCACGAATCTCTAACAAGGCCTAGGATCACATAATCATACGCTTGTTTATTTAAACCGATAGGAGTTGTGACCAAATCTGCTTCCCTGCCTGCATAAAACAGCCAACCAAACCATAGTGTGCCTCATTAAAATAGCAAAGTTTGGTATAAGAAGTAAATAGGATCTCAGCTGGCAACCGTTCTTAGTTTAGGTTTTTTGGTGATTGTTTTTGAATAATGCTTTCTGGGTCTGACGACGTCCGTCACATGCAGGACTAAAGCTCAGCAGGAGTCATCGGGTTCTTCTTCGAGGTCCTCTTCGCATAATTCAACGAACAAAATTCCAAGACAACCCTCCTTCGTTATCCGATGAGACCAATCTAAGAATCCCTTCGATCCGCCTTTCAAACGAAATTAAGGCTATTTCGGTACCGTACGCATTTTTGTCTGACCCTCTGTAGAAAGGCATTGCCTATTCCAGCAACTCTTACATAAAATAGTATATCCGGAATAGTCGAAAAACCGAGTAGGCATATTCATGTTGATGAAATAAACGAGATATTTCCACTTTTTGTCCATTTCATTTACCAAAAGATGTTGTCCCCCTAGGTTGCATAATTTGATGAAGTACTGATAGTGGAATTTTCCCAAAGTTTTATGAATTTGGCTTCACGATGCCTTTGAATTAGGCATTTTTGGGCAGTTCAACTATCAATTCGTCTTCACATTTTGCCATCTATGGTGATTAGAGTTCGTATTCGCGATCAATTGC